AGTTGGTATTGTTGAAGCTATTTTTTCTCAATACAAGTGTTATTCTGCACTAAATTCAGTTAAATTACTGGGAGAATTCAAACTTGAGTGCAGGGGTGCACACTGCTTTAACCAATTTGACTATATATAAGACCAAGTTTGCAATTTAGTTGGTAATACTTATATTCCTCAATTTTACTATGTCATATATATATTCTAGTAATTCAATTCAAGTTTACAATCGGGTTTAACCCCAACATTAATCAGTATTTATATAAATTATAATGGACTCAGCCTTCTAGATTGCTTGTAACAACGTATTACAAGAAAATCCTAGGGGATTCGTATGATGTAAGAAACTTTAATGTAGAAAGGTGAAAAATGGTTTGAACAACAAAACTAACCATGCAAGGTGAAAATTTGTGTGTACAAGTGATGGATGTCTTGTTGCTATAGCTGGAATTTTGTGTACCTTATTTACCATGGAGTAGGATTATTTACCATATACACCTGCCGACCTAATCTCCAATCGACACTTGTCTCTGCTCTCTGTTTCAACCTTTTGGCTCTATATAAACTGCCTCCTCCTTCTTCTCTACCAGTCGCTTAAAATTAGCAAAGCATGCAACTCCTCTCTTTTTTTAATACAAACCTCACTAACTAAGTAACATTCTCATTAAAAAGGAGAGAGAGACTGAAAGAAGGCGGTCGGGCTTAGGGTTTAGCGTTTAGAGATCGATGGATGCAATTTTGACCTACGTTTTCATCCTTCTCTGCACCCTTCTGTCATTTGTATTTTTCATGAAAAGGGACAGGAGAGGAGGAGAAGCACCCCAGAAAAGGGCTCAGCTCCCTCCAGGTTCATTAGGTTGGCCTTATATAGGAGAGACCCTTCAGCTCTATTCTCAAAACCCAAATACTTTCTTTTCTTCCAAACAGAAAAGGTACTAAGTCAAATTGACCCGATTTCGTCGTCAAGTTTTTTCTTTTTCTTTATTTACATGAGGGTATCGAACTCTAAACATTTCTATGCTTTGTATTTTGTTCAGGTACGGAGAGATTTTCAAGACGCATATTCTGGGATGTCCAAGTGTCATGCTGGCGAGCCCTGAGGCCGCGAAGTTTGTGTTGGTGACTCAAGCTCACTTGTTCAAGCCCACGTATCCCAAAAGCAAAGAGCGTTTGCTTGGTCCGTCTGCACTGTTTTATCACCAAGGAGATTACCATATGCGGATGAGGAAATTAGTTCAAGGATCTCTCTCCCTTGATATTATTCGAAATTTGGTGCCTCATATTGAAGGCTTCGCTGTTTCTGCCACAGACTCCTGGGCCACTGGCCAAGTCATCGACACCTTCCATGAAATGAAGAAGGTGAGACTACCCTAACCTAAAATCATTATTTCTGTTTTTTAAGCGAAACAGAAAACAATTACACAAAATTAGTTATTAGTCAATAGCATGCAAAACGCAAGAAAAATACAATTAAATAAAAAATCTTTGACTTTGGCCGTTTTATTAATCAACTGACTTTTATTTTTCAATTTACTGTATCATTGTAGTTATCTTTCGAGGTTGGTAAACTTGCAATTTTTGGCAATTTGGAGGCACATTACAAAGAAGAGCTCAAGAGGAATTACACCATTGTGGACAGAGGCTACAATTCATTCCCCACAATCATTCCGGGCACACCATACAAAAAGGCTTTGTTGGTAATTTTCTTTTTGTTAATACATGTAATTACTGATTAAATCCAAATAAAGTGTTTGATATACTAATTGTTCGTTAATTGTTTTGACTATTTGTAGGCAAGGAAAAGGCTAAGAGTAATTCTGGGTGATATTATATGTGAGAGGAGGGAGAAAAGATTACCTGGGAAAGATCTTTTGGATTGCATGTTGAACTCAAAAGATGAAAAGGGTGAAGTCTTAACGGATGACCAAATTGCTGACAACATTTTGGGGGTGCTTTTTGCTGCTCAAGACACTACAGCTAGTGTGATGACCTGGATTGTCAAGTACCTCCTCGATGACCCCAAACTTTTAGAGTCTGTAAAGGTACTACAACACACACCAACAATGCTACTTTCAGTCGTTTTCAGGCATGCGAGCAATTTTTCACCGTTTTATCATTGTAAAGATCCACGTTTAATCAATATTTTGAAATTTTCCATGCGTATATAAGCAACGTTTAATCATGTATTATTGTTGAACTCGCATTCCATCAGCAATTAGAAATCGCTTAACGATGGACGCAAATATACAGCTATAGCCATATCATCATGATTCTTTTCCTAGGCTCTACAACAATTCACTTTCACTCCATTTGCCGTCTCTTTATCTATAAAAGAAATGGCACTTTTATGTATACTCGCCTAAATTGCAGGCTGAGCAGAAGCTTATTCGTGAAGCAAATGAAGAAGGCCAGCAACCATTGAGCTGGGCACAGACTAGAAACATGCCAGTTAGTCACAAGGTATAATATATATATATATATATATATATATATATATATATATATATATATATATATATATATATGCGCGCGCGCGCGCACTTTCTCATACGATACAATCATACAAGGCATGGAATATATTTTTACCTAATTTGTTGCTACCTGTAGGGAATTACGTAACTTCTTTCTTTCTCAGGTTATTTTAGAGAGTTTGAGAATGGCAACCATTATATCTTTTGCTTTTAGAGAGGCTGTGGTTGATGTGGAATACAAAGGTACTAACAAGACTATAAACTAAAAAATATTTTTTTCTTGAAAGTTTATATCTATATAGAGGTGAAATTTATATACTATATATTAGGGAAATGATTTCCGCACACTCTTTTCTTCATATTCACACATTTGATTACTTATGTCCATTGATTCTCATTCAATTCATTCAGTCTATTGATTCCCTACTATGCGATCATCAAGTCCCTAATTTTTTAATGATATTTTGTCATACATTTTTTGTATCATCGTGTCCCTTTTGAATGACATTGCTCCTTATAAGATATGTATATTCAAGACGAAGTGCGACAGTTATTGAATAAGAAAACAAAAACAAAGTTTTAATTATTGATAACTACATACACATACACAGTCTCTACTTGTTTTGGTCAAATATAATCTCTTGATTTGAGCATATGTGCATTAATTTTTTTAACTAGAAAATGAGATGTAATTGCTATATGAAAATATAAATCTAGAGGCTATGTATGGTTGACGGTGGAATATGTGACAGGGTACTTGATTCCAAAAGGTTGGAAAGTGATGCCTTTGTTCAGGAACATTCATCACAATCCTGAATTTTTTGCCGACCCTCAGAAATTCGATCTCTCTAGATTCGAGGTAGGGTGACTACTACTGTTTCTTTCTCTGTTCTTAGTCATTCACCACGCCATATCTGAACTTTAAGATGTCAGAAAGGTTTGGAATTCATCAGTATATGATAATTGTACAATTTAATTATGAGCTTGCGTTATAAAAATTTAAAATTTATATAAAAAGTGTAACGAGTGAATCTGAACCACTTAAAATACAATCTATATTACTGTACATTGATGTAAAGTAGGATAGATATTACTTCCTATAATTATTAACAACTAATGCATCTTGATGTTTTAATCAAACTCTTTTCGATGCTTAATTAGGTTGCACCAAAGCCAAATACATTTATGCCATTTGGAAGTGGAGTGCATGCCTGTCCCGGAAACGAGCTTGCAAAGCTGGAAATGCTGGTTATGATGCACCATTTGGTCACCAAGTTGAAGTGGGAAGTAGTGGGATCCCAAAGTGAGATTCAATATAGCCCATTCCCTGTGCCTCTGCATGGACTCCCAGCAAAATTTTGGAAACAATCTGCCTGAGCTGAACTCTCACAACCCTCCCCAAATTAACTTACCCTCATAATTTGTGTGTTTTTTGCGAGCATCTCCAACTGATATGTTAAAGTGATATGCACGAACACAAAATTGCAAGAATTGAAGGAGAAAATCAATCCAACTAAGTAATCAAATCCTCATAGATTCGAAGGCACTAAGGGCAATGTCAAAACTAAATATTATTTTATTTATAATGGTGCTTATGTTTTTCTTCGAAAACATAATAAAGATGATATAATATTTTATATTAGAGTGGACTTCTCACAATTTTATAAAGGTTCAAATTGCTACCTAGACCAACAAATGCAAATGTATCATTTTAGATTTGATATATCTCCTTTAAAGATACTTTATGACACATTCATTTTCGCTACTCTGTTTTATCTCCCCTTATATTATATGGAACTGATAAGATAGAGATTTTCCATGCAAGACATCTGTCTTTAATCTAACAAATGACAGATCCTTTATTGATAATTGGTCGATACATTTGTGTTAGGTTGTCATCGACAACGATATTGACACGACTATAGATACCATATTGACGATTCATTCTTTAATATATACGCGAGTTTCTTGTTCATGGAAGAACTGGGTTTGATATTATTATCATCTTTGCCATTCTCTCTGCCATGTTCTACCTTTTCCCAAGCGCATTTAGCATTGATCTGCAGTCATATTTATTTTGCTAATCAGGAGTTACTGTGACATAATTTGGTGGAGCTCTATGATATATCACATACAACACGTACACTATAAGAGGAGGGATTACTGTTACGCTATGGTCGTTTTATTTAGACAATAGTCAAGATTACGGATCTAAGAAATTTAAAGTTTTGAGTTCCCTGAAAATCGCTCATTTTTCTGCTAACGATTCTATTTTTCGGAAATGAAATGTCCCCGTTGGTAGATAGTTTGCTTGTTCATCCATTCCCTTCTTCCGGTGCTTGTTCTTTCCCCTTTTGCTGCTGCGTTGGTGTAGTTTGGTTGCTTGTATACGGTTCATGGATGCGGCAGTTTGCTAGCTAGTAGCTGCTACTTGTTTTGTATTGTTGCTTCTCTTATTCACCAAAAAATAAAAAATATTTTCTTGGCCCTTTAGAATGGAAAATCGAATGTCATTCCACACGTTCAATTTGCGTAACAACACTAGCAAATGCTTTAATAATATATACCACAAGGTGCAAAAATAGCAAAGAACCCTTGAGCACCAATTTGTAGTTTAAGAAAAATAAGAGCGCGTGTGAGAAGCTAATCAAGAATGTGACATGATTGGAACTCAACATGTCACAACATGTATATACTACATATCTGTGGAGCGATTGCTGTTACATTATTTACAGATATCATAAGTCTGTAGACAAAAACTCATTGATTTGCTCAAACTTCTTGAGAAGCTGGAGTTGTGTATTTACTAATGGCTGCAGTGATCCTCTCTTTGTCTCTGGTAGGGAATGCTTCCAAAAGGACTCCGTCTTTATAGAAATGGAAGAGGGGCACCGTCTGCATCGTTTTATTCAATCTTATAAATTTTCAGTATGAAGTACGGAATTAAACTAAAATAGAACTAATTACAAACTTTTTATCAGAAATAAAACTAAGAGGGCATTAAACAAATAATAATCCACTTATAAATCAGAGTTTAGTGTCGTTTCAGTTCAAATTTTTGTTAGAAGTTTGTAACCAGTTATATTTGTTCATATTTCCCTTTACTCGATGCACACGTTACGTTCCATAAATTCATCTCAACAACAATGTATAGGTGAGTACTAAATCAAACTAACATATAAGATTAGTGTGCAATGTTTCCGGTGAAATCAAGCAATACAGAGAATGTTACCTTAATTCTAAGTCGATCAGCAACCTCGGATTGTTCATCGTACTCATCAATTACCTGCAGAAATTAGAAAGAAAAGAAAATCGTTTACCGCAATTACATATTGAGCTAATAAAGCCAAGTTGAAATCAAAATGAACGGCTTCGAACATGAAGTTTGTACGTCGAAATGATACTGACATTATGCTTTAAGAAGATAACAGCAGCTTCTCCATCGCCAGCTCCCTTGCACAACTTTGAAAACCCTTGCTCTATGTACTTGCAGCTCCCACACGAAGTCCGATAAAAATCCACTACAACCAAAGCACCACTTTCTCTAGCCCTTTCAAGAATTTTGCTGAACTCCTCGTCAGTCCTAAACTCTCTAACACATTCAACGGGACACACGTCGTCGTCGTCCTCTTCGGACAATTCTCCTAGGTTTCCCATCGCCACTCGGGCCTCTACGTGCCCGAATGCGCCGCGGAATCCCGAAACTTCCAGCGCCGTAGTTTTGATGATGGTTGATGGATTTCTGGCTCTCAGAAGACGTGATTTAACTTGGGAGGGACTCGTTGAACCGAGTTTTGTGTTTGGTTTCGTGACAAAGTTGGATGGGGCTTTGGCCTTACCGTAAAGAATGCTCTGCCTGTGCATCATTAGCCAATGGGAACACGTATTTTCGGAGCTGATTGCCTCTGGCAGTTGATGAGGTTCTCATTTGCCATATCTGAATTCTGAGTTATGCCACCAATCAGAAGACGACACGACATCATTAACCATATCGGCTTGCTGTCTGATTTCCCAACGAACTTTCAAATTTCAGTTATGGGCTATTTTCTTAACAGTTATGGGCTGATTACATTTCGGCCCAATGGGCTTTCGGTTAATACCGTTGTAATGTTATTTTGTAAAAACTTTTTAGTTAAAATGGTCTTGAGACTTTTTAGCTAAAGAAAATATCAAATTGCTGACGTCATCTCGACCAACTACAAACTACCAGAAACTAATGTTATGGGAATGCGTGCCTTGTCCGTAATCTGATCTCTTCAGGCGCGGTTCGTTCGCGCGTGATCTTATATTCCAATTAAGTTCTCAAACCAACCTCACCAGTCTCTCTGGGAATCGGAACGATAAAAACGACGTAGTTGCGAGGCCCCTTCCATCTCAATACTTGCAGAGAGAGAGAGAGAGAAAGAAGCAGCAATGGCGAGCGGTGCAGAGCTGAAGTCGGAAAGCTTGCTGGAGCTGATGAAAGAGCACCTGAAAACCGACGCCGGCAAAGAAATCACCAAGAAAATTGGACTCGTCTATCAGATAAACATCGCACCCAAGGTAGGCCCTACCACCCCACCGACGTCCCTCGAATTCTCTAAATCTAATTAAGCCCCCAATTTTTCCTTGACTTTCTGAGTTGAAATTGCAGAAAATTGGATTCGATGAGGTGATTTTTACCGTTGATCTCAAGAAGGGCGAGGTAAAGAAAGGTTAGGGTTCCTGATTTTGCTTTGCTCCGTGTCCTTATTAATTAATCTATTAGAGCCTGTTGAGATTGTTTTTGGAAGGGTTAAAAGCGTTTTGGGACATTCAAAAGTGCTTTTCATTGCATTTTGAGAGAAAAATTTAGGTGTGTTTTTCTAAAGAAGCATCTAAAAGAAAGTGCTTTTGACTGCGTTTGGCAAAAAATTCAAAAGTGGGGTTTAGATCATATGTAACCACTTTCTGAAGAGCCACTCGGAAGATGCTTCTGGGAAGCACTTTTTAAGTGATTTACAGAAAACACTTCAATTTTAATGAAAATATCACTGTCTCTGTAACAAAAGTGCTTATGAGAAGAATTGGTATTTTTAGAGAAACAATTCCAAAGGGCCCTTAACATTTCTGTTTTATGCATGAAAGATGTGGAGCTTTTCCTGAAAATGTGAGCTGAAATTACAGGGGCATATGGAGGAGGGAAGCCAGATGCGACTTTCTCGTTCAAGGATGAAGATTTCGTGAAGGTGGCGCTGGGGAAGATGAACCCGCAAATCGCTTTCATGAGGGGGGCAATGAAGATCAAGGGCAGCCTGAGTGCCGCCACGAAATTCACACCCGACATTTTCCCCAAGCCTGCCAAGATGTGAGATTTGGGGTTTCAGGCTTTAATCACCCTTTCTTTTTCGTGCTTGTTCAAATGGATTTATGGAATACTAGTAAACTTTGAACTGATGGAATTTTAGCTTTCCACTAAGAGAGGAATAGGAGTCAATTAAATGAAAGCTTGTGCTCTTGGATATATGAATCATTTCATACTTAATGCAATAAGCTGCCAATTAGAATATGATTCTGAGGATGTTTTTATAGGTTCTTCTTTTTCATGTGATTGCCTGCAAATTTGCTATCTACTTCTGTTGTGTTTAGTGTTGCTGGGTTGGATATTTGGGAGTTGGGTGGCTTCGGGGAGAATGACTTACATGAAACGGGTTCACCGTTATGCGGCATCTCCTATCCAGTAATGCATTGCCAAACAGCGTAAATCAGTCAAATCAATGATAAACTGAAAGGGAAATGAACTCCGCACACCCGTTCTTGGCTTATACACATCCATGTTTATTTCCGTCATTTGATTTTCCTTCTATTTATCAAATACAAATGGGCAGAAATAAATTGGGGTGTGCCAAAATTGCCTCACGAACTCTGACAATGAAAAAGAAAGTGTTAACAGTTCATTTCTATGATGTTCACCGGGGCTGAACCCGATGAGGCAAAATCTTGGGTTTAATCGGTCATTGATCACCTTCACTCCATCTTTCGCGTCACCTGATAGTCCCAGCACTGATCAACCTGCGCTTGTCCAAAAAGAAAAATGGGTTTCGTTCAAGGAAGTTCAGAGTATATGATTGCCAATCAATTTCATGGATGCTGCCTAACATTTTGAAATACTGATCGCATTCGGCCGAGTCTGCCATTTTCTAGCCCAACACACGGCATGAAGCCTTGAATTTTCTCAAGTATATCTTGTTCAAACTGGTTATCCAGCTGGAGTTTCAATATCCGCCAGTCTTGGCTGTTTAATGCCAAAATCTGACTTTTGGTGAAGAAAATTCAACGAGATATACGAGTATAAAGGCACACCAAGTGTCTAGCTTCTCTTTACAGATAAAACTGTAACACCATGAACTTCCTCCTTTCCTTCTGTTTTTGCCTCTGCACTTCTCTCTTGCCCTCCTTTGCAACCCCCGCCGTGTTATTCCAGGTAACGGAGCTATACATGCTTCTCTTTCATAGATACATATAACTCGTTATGTATGCGTGTTCTGAATTTTGATCGAAGCGCTTGGTTGTCTTTGAATATGATATAGGGGTTCAATTGGGATTCAAGTAAGAAAGGAGGATGGTACAACACACTCAAGACCTCCATTCCTGAACTTGCTGACTCTGGCATCACCCATGTTTGGCTTCCTCCTCCTTCTCACGCCAATGGAACTGAGGGTATGTACTTGCTACTAGCCTATCACTATCTCTGTATAATCTCGTTTGTTTGTTTAATATTCCCGAGTAATCATTAATGTTCTCTCGCCAAACTGCGAATCAAGAATGCGCCTTCTGGCAAGAGTTATATTGATCAATAATTCGAATTTACAGTCTGACAAGATAATAATTCGTTACTATTACTCAACATTTCAGGATACTACCCTGGAAGGCTGTACGATCTCGATGCTTCGAGCTATGGAAATAAGGATGAATTGAAGTCCCTAATTACTGCCATGCATGAGAAGGGAATCAAAGCCATAGCAGACATTGTGATAAACCACAGAGCAGCTGTCAAACAAGATGAGAACGGAATATGGAGCATCTTCGAAGGCGGAACAGCGGACGGACGTCTTGACTTCAATGCCTCCTTGATTTGCAGGGATGACAATGACCATCCTTTTGGCACTGGCAACCCAGACACCGGAGACAACTTTCCATACACAGCTGACGTGGACCACACAAACCCTAGGCTTCAAAGTGAGTTGTCGGATTGGATGAACTGGTTGAAAACCGAAATAGGGTTCGACGGATGGAGGTTTGATTATGCCATTGGATACGGCTCTAGCTTCACCAAGCTCTACATGGATAGAACTTCACCAGAATTCGCAGTTGCCGAGTACTGGCGTTGGAACATTGCGAAAGGGCAGGACGGTAAACTCGAACAGAACCAAGATGCACATAGGAATGAAATAGCTAGTTGGATTCAGGCTGCTGGGGGTGTTGTCACGGCATTTGATATGACAACCAAGTATATTATGGATGTTGCTGTGGTGGGTGAGCTATGGAGGTTGAAGGATTCAAATGGCAAACCACCAGGGTTGATTGGGATCAAGCCAGAAAATGCTGTGACGTTTATCGACAATCATGACACTTGGTCTCAAAAACTCTTGCCTTTCCCATCTGATCAAGTCCTGCTTGGATACGCTTACATTCTCACCCATCCTGGGACCCCAAGCATAGTAAGTAATCAACATCGATTTGCTCGATAGGAAAATGTTCTTTTGTCAGATTACCTAACGACTTAAGTAGTATACATATGTTGTAGAGTGGGATTTGGATCGCCAATTAGATTGACTCTTTTATAATTATGTGGTTCAGATCATAGTTTGACAACATATTCATTCGTTCTTTAACATCAAATAGCTAGGCCTAGCCGTCATCTTATTGAATTGGTAAAAGTTCTTTTGTCATGTTGTCTAATATAGCGCAAGTAGTCTATAATTACGTTACTAGATTGTCAACCTGAATCAGTATTAGTATGATTCTTTTCTGAATATGTGATTCGATTTCACAATTTGATAACATAGGTCTAGTAAGAGAACATTTATTCCGACTTCAAGTTACAAAACTTCTTTGCTTTCGATATTTCAGTTCTATGATCACTTCTTTGAGTGGGGGTGGCCAAAGGAGCCTATACGCAACTTGACTGCAATTAGGGCAAGGAATGGGATCAATTCCAAGAGCAGTGTGAGTATCTTAGCTGCCGAGGCTAACCTGTATATGGCCAACATTGACGACAAGATTATCATGAAGATTGGTACAAAGTTGGACCTTGGAGACCTTGATCCCACAAAGTCGAACTTCCACGTTGCCACCAGTGGACAAGACTTTGCTGTGTGGGAGAGAAACTGAACTACAAAAACTCTCATTTCTGTAATGTATTAGAATAAATAAGGCCAATCTGATGCCATTTCTTCTCCTCCAGGAATAAGGTGGATGACAATTACAAATTCTAAAATTTAAATCCCACTTGAGGCTTGTGTAGCTCTACCCTTCTTTTTTTTTCTGTTCCAAAGATGCTCGGTACTTCGAGTGTTCTTTACTAATTGAACTACGAGCTTCGTGTGTGTGTTTTAGTCAACTCGTCTGAATTTGTTCAAACTATAATGTTGATACTTAGGTTCTACTAACCTTGTTACAAATAGAAATATTTAAACTCAAACGATAAAAATGAAGCAAAATAACACGTTAATTTTTTTATTCTTCAAGCAATATTCTAAATAATGTAATCTAAATTCTAAGTACAAATTCAAACTTGAATAAGAAGAAGAGCACACTTTCTTTTTTAAACTACGAAGTAAGCTTTGTAATACTATTCAATGTTCTCTCACCCGGTGATCAAGAAATTCATGGTTACATACTCTTAGATTTGATAAGGAATTACACTAAGGGGATGGAGAAGTAAGCTAAGCCTCACAATGGGTTAGCCAGAATAATGTGGTTCAACTTCGCATTTGCGCGATAATTGAACCTATGACCTCTCGTTTACAAATGAAGAGAAATACTACTATATCTTGCTTCTCTCTCTCTCTATATATTTAGCCTACTTGTCCTCTATAACAAGAGACATACTCTTGTTAAATTGTCAAAAATTGAGAGATGTATATAAGAGGTAAATATTGATAAAATGCCAAAAAAATGCCACGAAAATGTCATGACTTAACCGGGCTCCACTGAACCGACCCGACCTAGGCCCAATCGCCTATTCTCGCTTGACTTTCCACTTTCAAAACCCTAATAACTGAAAAGTCAAACGATATAGGCTACCAAAAAAACCGCATAAACGCTCCCAAATTTGAAATTTGAACTTTTAATCCCCAAAACGCCATCTCACACTCTCAGACTCCCAAAAGCTCTCATCTTTCACCCACCATTTCCAAAATCTTCATACAATAAATGGGCGGAGCTCACAGCCGTGAACACCTCGAGCTCTCCGACTCCGACGAGGAAGAGAGCGAGGAGCAGGAGAGCTATGAGGATGTGGAGGAAACTGAAGCCGACCAACGTCAGAGATCCGCCGATCGGGGACCCAAAACGCCGTCGTCGGCGGAGTTAGACGATGTGGACGCAAAGCTCAAGGCTTTGAGTCTCAAATACGGGTCTTCTTCCAAGAACCCGAATCTGAAGAATCCGGTGAAGCTTTACGTTCACATTGGTGGGAACACCCCCAAGGCGAAATGGGTAACTTCCGAGAAACTCACTTCTTACAATTTTATTAAGACATCTCGAATGGAGGTTGATAATGACGAGGAGGTAGAGGAAGAAGAGGAATTTGATGAGGAGGGTTGTTGGGTTTTGAGGGTTGGGGCTAAAGTTAGGGCTAAGGTATCGGCCGAGATGCAATTGCTCACTTTCGCCGATCAGCGGCGTGTCGATTTCTTTGCCAGAGGTGTGTGGGCAATGAAGTTTTTCGGTGATGAGGAGTATAGGGCTTTTGTGCTTAAGTACAATGACTGTTTGTTTGAGAACACTTATGGGTATGAGGCCACCGAGGAGAACAGGGTGAAGGTTTATGGGAAGGATTTTGTCGGGTGGGCGAAGCCCGAAATGGCGGATGATTCGGTGTGGGAAGATGCGGAGGATAGTTTGTTGAAGAGCCCTGGCTCGGCAACACCAGTGAGGGCAAATCAGAATTTGAGAGAGGAGTTTGAGGAGGCCCACGATGGCGGGATACAGAGCTTGGCATTGGGTGCATTGGACAATAGTTTCTTGGTGGGGAACTCTGGCATTCAGGTAGTTAAGAATTTCTCTCATGGAATTCATGGTAAAGGTGTTTATGTGAATTTTGATGATGGGAGCTATGGAGGGGGTTCGAATTTGGCACGGTCAACGCCTAGGAAGGCTCTGCTGATGAAGGCCGAGACTAACATGCTCCTTATGAGTCCGATGAATGAGGGGAAGCCTCACACAACAGGGCTTCATCAGCTTGATATTGAAACCGGGAAGGTTGTTACTGAGTGGAAGTTTGAGAAAGATGGGGCTGACATTACAATGAGGGATATCACAAATGACAGTAAGGGAGCGCAGTTGGACCCCTCAGGATCAACATTCTTGGGTCTGGATGACAACAGGCTTTGCCGGTGGGATATGCGTGATAGGAAAGGAATGGTTCAGGACCTTGCGGCTTCTAGTGGACCTGTTCTCAATTGGAACCAAGGGCATCAGTTCTCAAGAGGGACTAACTTTCAGTGCTTTGCTAGCACTGGAGATGGCTCAATTGCTGTTGGGTCTCTTGATGGGAAGATCAGGTTGTATTCAATCAATTCGATGAGGCAGGCGAAAACTGCTTTTCCAGGCCTTGGTTCACCTATCACTCATGTGGATGTTACTTTTGATGGGAAGTGGATTTTGGGCACAACCGACACTTATTTAATCCTCATCTGCACAATCTTTACTGATAAGGATGGCAAGACAAAGACTGGTTTTAGTGGGCGTATGGGAAATAGAATTTCAGCTCCAAGACTGCTGAAGCTGACTCCCCTGGATTCACATCTGGCGGGCATGAATAACAAGTTTCGTAACGCTCAGTTTTCGTGGGTAAGTGTGTATTTTCAGCCAGTTGGTTAGAAATATTTTTCTGTTATTTTATGGGATTCTGCAACATTATGCTGCTTCTTCCTTTTGTTCGTGGTGATGAAAATTTGTGTCTCCATCTGAAAGTTGGAATAGTTTTCGATTCAGTTTATGTTTTAGTGATTAATTCCCGAAGAGATGGTGAATGGATTGGTTTTCCTTAGAAGGTTTTAATAGTGGGGTTGTCATGTATAAAGCTACTTTGTCTGGCATTTCCCCCTCTCTTCCAAGTAACTTTTAGATTTTGAATGCTGATTTCACTTCGAGAACAAAAGTCTGTTCTTACTTATGAATTTGAGTTTGGAGGATATCGGTACCTTGATGGTAGTACCAATTTTGGTTGGTCGGAGCATTGTCTATGAATCGAAAATGTCTAGGTCATTTATTAACTCTGAAATCAGTATATTTTTTTCTGGCCTTGTGATTTCTTTTGGTATAAGCTTATGATAATCTTGTTTTACATTATTGTTCAGGTCACAGAGAATGGGAAGCAGGAGCGTCATCTGGTTGCTACTGTGGGCAAATTTAGTGTGGTTTGGAACTTTCAACAGGTGAAGGATGGCTCGCATGAGTGCTACCGCAATCAGCAGGGCTTGAAGAGCTGCTACTGCTACAAGATAGTCCCTAAGGACGACTCCATTGTCGACAGTCGCTTCATGCATGACAAATTTGCAGTTACCGACTCGCCTGAGGCTCCACTTGTGATTGCAACCCCTCTCAAAGTCAGCTCCTTCAGCATATCCAGTACTAATAGACAATTGTACTCGGAGATGTGAGAATCTACGTTCAGCTGTCTTAGCTGCATCGAACTTTCTAATTTTCTGTCAAGAACTTACAGCTTGCATTTTGTTATTTAATTAGGGTGTGCTCTTTACGCTAGGTCTTGTAATCACGTTCTGAAAGAATTTCAATGGTAATCTAATGATTTCCAGCAATATTAGTGTTGTAATTCTTATTGAAGCATGGTTTAAGTTAATTTTCTTTTCCCTCGTCCATATATTTCAACATTTTCCGCTTCTTTTAAATGACCTGGGATTTTTAACGTTATGTTTAAGTGGTCCTTATTTTCCCTTGATAGAAAGATAGGAGAGAAATGGCTGCTGCAGTGGGGAGAGGTTTCCTTGTGCAGCCATGTCCGTTATCCTTTGTAATAAGAACATACTGAAGCCCTCATTTGGTGTCTGGCATGGCAAACCAACAACAGCTCGAGGTTTTTCCCGACACGTAGCTCAAGCACAAGTGCGCCCTACATGGCTCCCTGGGCTTAACCCACCAGCCTACCTTGACCGAAGGTAAGTCCCTCAAGAAGCTGGTTCAAAAGGATCTCACTTCTCTTGCTTTTTCCCCTATTTAGTTTCACTCTTTGTCCCTCTTCAATAGCTTGGCCGGGGATTTCGGGTTTGACCCACTCGGGCTCGGGGAGGACGGAAATCTTTTGGGTTGTATGTGCAGGCAGAGCTGGTTCATGCTCGCCTTGCAATGCTTGGAGTTGCAGGAATTCTTCTTACAGATGTAAGAGCAACATGGTATTCTGGTTTTTTTTCTCTTTTTTTTTTTCTTTCTGTGGACTCATTAGAAAATACTAAAATGAATTTAAATGATCTGATTTGTTGATCTTTTAAAAGTTTTTCTTTCATTGTATCATGAGATTTGTTAATTTTCGCCTCGTCCATCCATATTATAGCACGTTGATCATTTTTCCCTTTACTGCTGTGCTTATAGATTTGTTGAAACTAAAAGATACATGGATTTCAAAACTCCTGGATCTCAAGCCCAAGATGGCTCATTCTTTGGATTATAATCTGCATTTGAAGGTTTAGAACCTGGGCAATCTTCTTTGCCTTGGAATCCCATCTTTACGTTGATTTCACAGTAATAGTTACACCGTCACATACTATTACCAACCCACTCATATATTATAATACGGGTATTTCATAGTTTATACTAAACACTACGTCCCACAAAATGTCAACATTATTGTCTACTTATATTACGACTCGTTAATTAGTAACATTGAATGTATGATTATCAGATATCCCAGAGGTCTGTTGCTAAATCCTCTTGGTCTGGCAAAAGAGATCAAGAATGCTCATGAGTGGAAGCTAAAGAGATTAAGAACGGTACAAATTGTTCAGACTCTTGCAAATTCTGCTTAAAATGTAAATCCAAGTATGTATATGGTTTTTGTCTCTGTCATCGGATTTTCGGTTTAGTGAAAGAATCCATCCAAAGGTTTCTAACAGTGTTGTATGTGCCAATGTGGCAATGTTGAATGGTTGTAGTGCCATCATCATATGTGGATTTATATCGATTGTTCATGTCACTAACTGGTCACATAACGAATGAGATACATTCATAATTATACACAATTGATTACATATACACTTAGCTTATTCTTCAAAAAATGCTTGACCCCAAACTTTTATTTGCATCTACCCTCCTAGGAAAAATGTACAAATTATGAAATTATATTGATGGATGGGTTCACATGTCAATGTCAGCCAAGTAGAGAGAAAAAAACTCGTAGAAATATCATTGTGGTTAAGTTTGTTATTCTGAGTCTAATTCTAGACTTTTATTGTAATTTTATATACATGTGCGAGTCATGTACAAGTGTGAAAATGTTAGAAAATAAAGTCTCACATCGAAGATATAACAAAATAATGCATAATTTATATGTGCGAGTTTCACTCTTAATACCACCAAAAATCTTTTGTCATAAAATAAACACCTTAGTATAGGCGGTTAAGTTGAGACATTATCGGTGAAACAAACGTCTAGGATAAATGCTCGTAATTATTTGAATTGTAAGTTTTTTGTGAGAACGATTGGGCCGAAATTTACATCGGCTTTCCATTATATCGGCCCACTATCCTTAACCTGTATAATCTTGACCCACGTTAAGCGGGACCCGAACATGACATGGGCGGACTTCGCGTCGCGTTGGTACGACGCACCTAACACTTCCAAGCGGGAGTAGAAAAGTAGATGTTCAAATTTCAGCCGTGCGATTAAATTAACGGTTCAGATGTAATAAAGTGAAACGGTACGATGTGTTGGAGTTTATAAGCAAAGAGAGGAGGCGAAGGTTCTCACTTTTGCCTAATAAGGAGCCCCCTGCTGCGATTTTGTTTCCAATTTTCAAAAAACCCAGATTGTGTTGCACTTTTCAGTCCTCGAAGCCACGAAAGACTCTTCGGGTAAGAAATTTCTGTTCGATATGCTAATATTTTGCATAAATTTTGAACTTTTATTGGTTTTGATTTGGCATTTTAGGGTTTTGTAGGGGATTTGATTTGGGTTTTTCTGGGTTTTGGATTTTGATTTTTCCTAGGGTTTTTATACCTGTCAATGAATTCTGGGACGTTGAACTGCTCTTTGGGTTTTATGATTTTGTATTAGGGTTGTATTAGGGTTGATTTGGTTTGAAATTTGGATCTTTCGCTTGAAATGATGAACTGCTCTTTGGGTTTCTTTTATAATTTTGATCTTCGATTAGACGTACGATTATAAAAGTTTAAAGGTAAATCTCATTGATTCATATTATTGTGCACAGGATATTATTTTTCGAAATCGTGGAAGAACTTTCGATTTGTACAAACCCTAACCCTAGGCCCATAGCCCTGATTTTCGATTTGTATTTGTCTTTTGGTGTTTTGCAGAATACAATGGCGAGAGGAGCTAAGAGGAAGGCCAGCCAGAGGGAAGAAAACAAGGAAAATTCGACCAAGGTGGACAACCACAAAGAACAATCGAGCAAGGCTGCCACTCTGTCGAAGCGGGTCACGGCCTCCCACCCCCAATCCGAGCCTGAGTACTTTGAGGAGCCCCGCCAATTGGAAGATCTCTGGAAGGCTGCCTTCCCTGTTGGGACTGAGTGGGATCACTTGGACAAGGTGTACCAATTCAAGTGGGATTTCTCAAATCTTGAACAAGCATTTGAAGAGGGGGGCAAGCTGCACGATCTTGGGAACAACAAAGTGTATCTCTTCAGTGGTACGGAGCCTCAACAAGTCCCTTACAAGGGTGATTTGAAAATTATTTACATACCCATTGTGGTGGCTGTTGTATCGCCTTGCCCACCTTCTGACAAAATTGGGATTAAGTCGGTTCAGAGAGAGACTGAAGAAATTGTTCCAATGAAACAGATGAAAATGGACTGGATTCCATTTATTCCTTTTGACAAGAGAGACAGCCAAGTTGTTGAATATAGTCGAAATTCTCCTCAAATATTCGTCTTGGGATGCACTCAGAGAAGGGCTGCTTTGAAACACATGAAGATTGACCGTCTAAAGAAATTTGATTACTGCTTGCCTTATCTAATGCCTATCAAGGAAGAGGAGCTTGAGCTGAGCACCGAGGTTGACATACTTTTTCCACAGGAACCAAATCCACCGGTTTACTGTGTGTTTGATTGGCAGTTTGATGAAGTTGAGGAGTTTACTGACGAGCGGATAAAAGAGGAGGAACTATCTGCAGATCATAAGGATGCCTTCATGGAGTTTGTCAAGGAGAAAGTACGTCAACAAAAGAAAGAAAACCGAGAGAAGAAGGAGGCCCGCAGAGTAGCATTTGAAAAAATGAGTACGGAAACTAAAGCAGCATTTGAAAATTTGAGGTATTACAAGTTCTACCCCGTGCAAACACCCGATACTCCTGACATATCTAGTGTCAAGGCTGCATACATCAACAGGTACTACAACAAGGCTCATGAGGTTCTGTGATAAGTTTCACTTTCACCAAGATCCCTTGTTTGGCCTGCGCATAATGCTACGGTAATTGAAACTTTTGCGTTTCCCAAAGTGTTGGGAAAAGAGAAAAGTCCACATATTCCTGTTGTTATTTGATCTCATTTGAAATCATATAAACACCAATGTATCCTTAAATTTTGTAGCTCCGGTCATTTGTTTACCTTCTGTTGGAGTAAACTTGTCATGTCTTCTTGTACGTCCGATTAGAAGGGTTATTTTCACTTGAATGAAAATTTATTGTTCGATGGTTCTGTTGCCCTTGCTGAATCATACGAAGTTGAGACGTCTTGTTTTGTTTTGTTCGGCTTTTATTTGTATGTTGCAACATAAATAAGAGAGATTACTTAGGCAATCCGTTCAAATTTACCTAACACTGCCTTTGTTTCTTTCACATTCTTGTTTTGCTTAGTTCTGAAACAAAATCAATTGCTTAAACTTAATTGCATTGAGCCGGGCGAGGAAGAAATTTTCATCGGAGTACTTCCGATCAAATCTAATTCCGATCAAGTTGAAGAGAGATGCTATTGGTCTGGCTTCTCTTCAGCCCAGATTGTTGTAAAGATCATCGTTTTGCTTGCAACTGTCTCCTGCCCGGCGAAGTCTCTTCTAAGTCTCTATTGCTTGCTGCATCGAGAATAGCGTTTATTTCTGAACATTCTTCATCCTTTATCCGCGAAGTCATAAGTTATCTTTTTGCGGTATTTATAGATAGGAAGGGAGATTAATGATAACACCTCATGTCTGGCATTAAGAACTTGGTGTCCGTATCATGGTGATACTACCGGTCTTGCTCAGAAAACTGACCGAACACTCTAGAGAGACCAGCTCCCGTAGTCATTTGATTAGTGCCCTTGTTTTCGGATCAATAAAACATCATTGAAACTATGAATGAATGCCAAAAAGTATGAATTTCAACTATAAGTAGCTCATGAAAAGTTCAAACCCAAATTCTTTCATTACAGCAAACGCGAACCAACATAATACTGAATTTCTCTTATTCTCCCTTCTCAATAGTACCCTTTGCTCCAAAAACATCCTTACAGTGAGCAAAACTATATCATCCAATTAACTTATCATACAACAAACAATTTTCCAGTATTCTCATGTACACTCGAGTAAACATCAGTCAGATCAATCTGCCATTTACAGTCACTCTGAGAGAAACAACCTTGTAAAGGAGGTAAAAAATCACAACAGACATGTTCTGGTTTCAATCAAGAGTTGTTTGCCTTGTTTTGATGCGCCCTTCTTCTGGCCAAGAACATAAAAATCCGTGGAAAGAACGACTTCTTTTTCTTCTTTCCCTGCTTTACTTCTGTGGGTGATGGACTGGCTTCGATGGGGCTTCCAAGTCCATACTTGGGGCTTGATGAATATTGCTCGGGTCCGGCAGAATCAGCTGCCTGGTCAAAGTTCTTAGATTCTTTCCTAGCCTCAAAACTAGCCCTCGGGCTTTTAGTGGGAGTTACTGCTGCCTGAGCAGGTTCACCAAGCTTTCGCCGTTGCTCATGTTCGGCCCTCCACTTTCTCAGCTCCTGCTCAACACCCAACTTGCCTTCCTTGGCCTTCTCAGCCTTTTCCATTGCAACCTTGAGTGCTTCTTTTCTTGCAGCCATTTCCCGATTCACTTCTTCCAACTTTTCCAAGCTTTTGAGCTCAGACTCCTTGGCCACCTCGATTTGGGAATTTGCAGCTGCAACTCTCGTGTTCGCCTGTTCTTCTGCATCATGGGCCCGTTTGCTGAGCTCATAATACTCCGCTACAGAAAGTGTTACCCCAGTTGGTGAATCAGTATCGTTGGTGCTTCTAGCTTGTTCACTTTCTTGCAAAGCTTTAATTGCTGCTAACGCCAACTTCTCGGAGGCCCTAGCGGCCTCTATTTCCTTTTGTGCTGCGAGTAATCTACTTTCCACAGTACGTGCTCCAGCCTTTACTTGCTCTGCTTCTTCCCTTGCCTTGCGCAGCTCTTCACCAGCCGTTTCAGCAAGTACCTTTGCCTGGTCAGCCTCTTGTGCCGCTTGCTGTAATTCTTTGGGTAGCTCCACCATCTTCTCTCTGGCTTCTTTCTCCTTCATCTGAACTAGAGCTATTTCCGACCTAGTCTTCTCCAGGTCAGCTTCAAGAGATGCAACGGCCACTGATGCCATTCCTTCTCTCTGTGTAATGGTGGCGAGAGCTGATTTCTCACTTTCAAGTTCTGATTTTAATGATGTGGCAGCCACCTTTAAGATATTTACTTCAGCAATTGCTTTCTCTACGTTGAGCTTCACTTCCTCCAGCTCCTTCTTTGCAGAAGCAACTGCAACTTGTATATCGGTACGAGTTTTCTTCTCTGGTTCCTGTAGCCCATCTTTCAAGAGTCCTCCATCACTTTCCACCTTTAACCTTGATTCCATATATGCAGCTAATTCAGATTTCAAATCAAGTAGCAAGGCCGAGGCCGTGTCTAGTTTTGACTTGAGATCCTTAGCCGACATAATTTGGTGGTTAAGTTTCTGAATCTCCTCTTCTGCCTGCTTTAACTCTTTCTCCCAATGAAGCGAATCTTGTTCCTTGGCCATGATTGCTCCAATCCTTTGTTCCTCCGCTTCCAAATGAGCGGCATGCGCAGCCTCTAATGACTCCTTCATGGCAATCAGCTCAATAGTCAGTTCTTCCACTGTTTTCTCCACTTCCTTGGATGCAGAGACGGCCTCTTCAGCTTTTTTAATAGCTGTATCTTTCTCTGTCACTAAAGAAGCATATTCCTTGTGCAGCGCTTCCAGCTCCTCTTTAACCGATTTCAGCTCCGTCACTGCAGCTGTATGCCTTGCCTTGGCGACCTCAAGCTGTGCCTTGGCTGCAACACTAGCCTCATCCGCAATACCTTGCTCCATTTCTTCCACCCTTAGTTTGGCAAGTTCGGAGTCTTGTTTTGCCTGTTGTTCTTCAGTTTGTGCTCTCTCCAGGTTGAGCTTCAATTCTTCTACGAGTCTCTTAGTGCTGTCTAGCTCCTTCAATACTTGAACCTTTGCTTTTTCGGCAGCCTCAGATTGTTTCCTATACTCAGGAATCTCCTCCTGTGCTTGCTCAAGTTCTTGCTCCACAATTTTGCGTCTCTGCACAGCCAAAGAAGAAATTACAGTTTGTTTTGGAAAACATAGGTACAATTTTTTGGTTTCAATTTAACGCTTAGAAGAGAGTTTCGTAAAAAAATCAAATAAAACACCATTACAGATTCTAAGGAAAGGGATTGCGAACTCTAACACCAAGGCAATAAATAACTAATAAAACAGAAAAACTCGAGAAAATTTACCTCCACAGTTTGGATTCTATGGGCTTTCCAATCAACAATTCCTCCAAATTTGGAAACAGCTTCTTTGACTGATTCAAACGGAGCAGTTGTATCAATAAGACCTCTGTTCTTAGCACTCTTAGGGGAATCAGTGGCTACCGATCTTCTCGCAGAGAAGCTAGCAAACTTTGTACTGGGTGATGATATTACATTGTTCACATATGCCAGCTTAGCACTCTTAGGAGAATAAACGGATTCAGTTTTTTTGACAGCATTTCTGGCAACCTTTATATTGGGCAGAGAACGTGTTGTGGGTTGCAGATTGTCCACATTTTTAGGACCCTGAACTTCTTTCTCTGTTTTATTGACTGTACTTACTGAGGCTGAGGCTGAGGCTGAGGCTGAGGCTGAAGTATCTGTTGGTGATTTTGTTCCTGAGATGTGCTATTTGAAGCGTTATCGACACTTTTGGGACCCGAATCTTCCACCGGAGCATCGTGAGTATCTTTCTCTGTTTGATTGGCCATAATGATTGAGGGTGCAGTATCCGTTGGAAGAAGTTGATTTTGTTCTGGAGATTTGCTATTTGACGCATGTTCCACAGTTGGTGATTTACCATTCTCTATCGCTGATGAGCTAGAAGCCGGATTATCTGTTGGAAGTGATTGATTTTGCTCAAGAGAGGGGCCTCCGTCAGAAGAACTTTGTGTAGTTTCTAATTTAGGGTTGTCCGTTGTTGACAAACGACTGTTACTTTCAACTTTGTCATGCTTTTCTGTATTCACAGGTGCATCCCCAGCAGATTGTTGATCATGGTTGGAGGACGAAGAAGATTCTGTGGGAGGCATTACTTCTGCAGTTTTCACAACCTCCATTCCAAGAACGTGTGGGAAGGAATGCAACGCGCAAAATCTACAATCTGAGTAAAAGAAATCAGATCAACAAAACAAGGACGAAAAAGTATACGAAGAATCAACCAATAATGAATCGATCTTCAGTTTCACCAACCCATAAAAGCCAACAAAATTATAGCTTCTAACAGGGCAGAACCTTATGATCAAATCTCTTTGCATTATTTCATCAGAATTGCATTCTTTTAGCTCAATAATTCATGTTCTATGAAATTGTAGTAAAAATAGTAAGAAACCAACCAATTCGAAATTGCTATCCTTTCTTTTCTGGGGATGTACGGACTCTCAATTATCGAAATTCTCAGAAAAATAAATAAATTTAAAAATAAAATAAAAATCAAACAGCTTCCAGGCATACAAGGAACAATAAGAACAATTAAACAGCAAGCTTCAAGCTTCATATAGAAATTACAATAGGAACTTCAAATACTCACTTAAATCATAAATTCCACATAGTATCCAAACAAAATCCAAATTCCAATCCAAAAAAGTGAATTAAAACAGAGAATTTGCAAGAACAAGTGTATCAGAGCAACAAAAAAAAAATCAATGAAAACTCGAACTTTCAACCAAAAATTAACTGAAAAAAAAAAGGAAAGAGAGAGGGAGAGGAACGTACCGGAATAACGAGAAGCGATTGAAAGGAAAGTGGGAATGGAGTTTCGGAAATTAAGGCAAAAAAATACTACAAAAAAGGATTAAAATTAGCAAAAAATAGCAGCAAAGAAATCGGAGTTAAAAATAGAGGGAAGAGAAAAATAGCGGGGGAGGAAGAGAGGAGAGAGATGAGTGGAGCTACCTCGTCGTCGTCTCGTCACACACGGATTGGATCCATCTGTACGCTTCTTCTTCCAATCTCAGTCTCAGACCGTTCAAACTTTTTTTGCTTCTTTTAATTTTATTTTTAATTTTTAATTTTGTTGATTAATTTTTTCTGCTTTTTTTTTTGGGGCCCGGGGGGGGGGGGGTTTGACCAAAATCGGAAAGGCAGCGAGGTTTTGTCCGATGCTTTGGGTGGTGCAGCACGGCTCGGCTCAGCTGCCCTTTTCTGTCCAGCTCACCACCCCTCAAATAAGAAAAAAAGATTTTAATGCACTATTTATAGTATTATATTACCAAATGCATCATACCTGAAAAACTTAGAAAGTGCTTTTAAAATTATTAAAGTGTTTTGATAAAGTATTTTTGAAACCAGTTTTTAGTAAAAATGTAAGCGAATATTGAAAAAAAAACTTGAAGTGTTATTTGCAAGAAACACATAACTGATACTTCTTGTATAGAGTACTTTAAGTGCTTTTAGAATCTAAATATAATTTCACTAAAAGCTTTTTTAATCAATTTTAAAACACTTTCAAATAAGTTCTTACTTATTTTATGTACTAAAGTAAGAATTCAAACTTAAATACAAAAACAGAGAGCGAAACATCACGTTCTAGTGAAGTTAGCTAAACTAAAATACTCTATTGAAAAGTGTCTATTCAAACAATTATGTTACAATATTCTAATATTTCTTAAAGAACTACTCTAGTAGATTTGGATGCACTAGTATGCAATGTATCACTTTCTTTAAGTCCTTAAATCTAAAAATTTATATTTTTGTAGTAAAAAAAAATTAATTGTTTTGAGCAGGTAGTATCTTTAAACTCAATTATTATTGTGTCTGAATTCAAATTTTAAAATCGACTATTATTATGCCTGAATTCAGATTTTTATTACAACTATGTATGAGAGTTTTATTTTTATTTTTATTTTTTTTTATGTATTCTTTTATTCTTTAAGTGTTTTTATTAACATTTTTACTAGATTTTCGACGAAGGGATATTCATATTCTAAGCTGGTTATAGACATTGTGGAGGGCAGTATGGTGTCCTTGGGAGAATTCGAGACACGATTGCGGATATTCGTTGGTTGGCATCTCCTTTCTTTGTGTGATTTGGAAGTATATTTATCTGAAAGCAAATTTTGTGGTTGATGTTGTGACTAATGTATGCTTATCTCTTCCTAATATGTATATTTGGGATTGAACCCTCGCTTTGCGGTCTACACCCACTCTTTTGTTTGATTGTAACATGTACTGGCTGTTCGTAAGATTTCTCGCCTTAATTGATTTCTTTTTAGAAAAAAAATAAAAAATTCTAATATTTGTAGTAAAAGAAATGTACTAATGTTTGTAGTAAAAGAAAACTGATTGTAACATGTACTGGCTGTTCGTGAGATTTCTCGCCTTAATTGATTTCTTTTTAGAAAGAAAAAAAAAATTCTAATATTTGTAGTAAAAGAAATGTACTAATGTTTGTAGTAAAAGAAAACTATTTCTTATTGTGTAACTTGTGTTTGGTTTGTACATTGTGGATGGTGACAGACATGTATTAGAAAAATCATCCATATGAGTTGCAGTTTTCTTTAATTCATTAAGAAAAAAAAATTGTGATTACGTTGAAATTATGATGACATTATCTGAATTTTTTGAATTTCCTACATTGCATTTGTTTGATTAAGACTGTGGAATTATAGATAAGATATCAAATTAAACAAAGACACCGCCGACCGTGGATAATGTCTTCTTTACTGAAGACACTCTATAGATCAAATGACTCTATTGCCCCTTCATGTGAATTTTTTGTCATGATCATACACTAAAATGAATATTTTTTTACTTCTCTTGTTTTTCATCCAACGTTATTAGTTTTAGTGTGATACTTTTATTACTTTTGGAACACTAGCTAGATATCAAATCACAGTATAACAGGTCTGAATCCGTAACTTAATAAAATTACAGAAAGGAAATACTTGAACACATTTGAAATATAATTTCTCTACTAAAGAATTGACTCATTATATCTAAACAATTCAGAAAGTTTATTAACATGAATAAACAAGTCAGAAAATGATTTCGCACACGCATTCTCACTATTTTTAATTTTTTTTTTTGGTAACAAAAAGCTTAGGGGGTAAGAGAGGCTACACCATCATAAGCCCAGGGTATACCACAAGTCTTTTTGAGAATTTACAGAGGGGTCCGTGCCCCCTTTGTTGGTTTTTTAACAGATTATGGACCGATACATGATTGTTGACAGTGAAACTCGAACTTTGGTAGGACGGCACGCAAGCCAGGTACCTTACCACCTAAACCAACTATGTTGGCCACTATATATAATTTCGCATGGTTAAATAGGTTGCAAATTTTGAGCTAACTACGACGCGGTTGCATGTGCAACATGCGTATAAAACTCTACGCGTATGCTGCCTCCAACGGTCCAAAAACCCCCCATCTGGGCAAAAACTGCCGGGACCATTGATTTCAGTTTGGATTTCAAATTTTGAGTAACTGTTGGAACGTGGCGTTTGGCAGGACATTCTCAAGTCCAAAGTTTCTGAGGCTGAGAGTGAGCGAATGAGAGATCTTCCATTTCTGTGCACTAGGTACCGATCACCGTTTGGGATTTGTGGCTCCCTTTTACAGAAACTTGCCACGTCCTGTGGTTTTTGTGGTACGTATACACTAGGGCCGGTCCAGAGATTTTTGAGGCCCGGGACGACGCTAAAAATAGTGCCCTAACTTCATATAAGAAAATTATTTATTTTCACACTTAAGATATTGATAAAATTATACTTAGAAAAGCACCTCAAACTCAATAATTTAGAAACACAAAAAGACTAATTTATTTTGTATTGAGAGAAGAAAACCAAACAACTCTGGGCTTATAAGTAGATAGATGATGAATTTTGTTTTCCATTTGAACTTTGAAAGTGTTTTTGTATAAATCATGAGGTGTTTTTATTTATTTACTAACCTTGTCAATATGGGACTAAAAAAATAATGATGTTTTCGAGTCTTTAATTGATATGTATTAGTAATGAATGGGCATTAAATTAAATATTTTGATAACACGTCATATAATTTACCAATTTGCGCTAAAAATTTGGTCTACGTATTACTCATTGTTGAAGATTAGACTTGAATTGAAACGAATATTTAAAAATAACAACCCACATAGCTACTTGCTAGTAACTAAAAATAAATTAACAACCAAACAAAAAATAAATTAACAACCAAACAAAAAATAAATTAACAACCAAACAAAAATTTGTAAAAATTGAAAAAAATAAACATGCACATAGCATTTCGAACTTAGGACCTCTTGTTAATTTTAAACAACAAAAACCATTGCTTCTAATTAAACTTCTTGATCCTTTAACCAAATTTTATAAATTTATACTCTTATGAAAAGAAATTTGTAAAAATTAGAAAGTAAATAAGCACATGTGGTGTTTTGAACTCAAGACCACTCATTATTTTCAAATGACCAAACCACCTCTTCTACTTAAATTTTTATGTCATTGAACCAAGTTTTATAAATTTATACTCTTATGAAAACATATATAAATATATCATTCTAATAATTTTGGTGCCCCCAATATTTTTGGGCCCCGGACGGTTGCCCTGCTTGCACTAGGCCTGGGCCGGCCCTGGTATACACACACTAAAAACTGAAATAGGTTCCTTCACACAAGATTCCCAAAGCCCCAAAAGGTCAACTACACTACTCCTATTTTGTTTTCTTCCACCTATGAAATATAAACATTGATTATAATTATGTAGACGTGAGTTAAGTCAATTGTATACGGTAATGTGTCAACTCTTTTACTTTGATCTTAGTCTTTCTCTCAATGAATAGAATAGTTTAGAATAGTCTTGTAATAAAATAAAATAAATAATAATTATTACAATTTCCATCACACCCCCTTATTAAGTTTATCATACAATTTCTGCTCTTATAAGAAAATTCCATCACACATTGGTAAGGATATATCCTAGTGAGTTAATTGGCCAAAAAATATATTGTCCATCACACCCCCTTATTAAGTTTATAGTACAATTTCAATCCTCACATGTTCAGTTTAATTCTTTCCTTTTTCTTCCCCATAATTCTGAGTAGTGGTTGTTGGGGTAAAAAAAATAA